CCCCCTCTGCTCAAGCACACAGTGCGCTAGGTGGCCCTTTTTCCTGTTGCTTTGAGCCATGAACAGCTCCTGCACACCTGAGCTTCAGGAGGCACTTGGAAGGCTTGCAGACCTGCAGGAGGCACTTGGAAGGCTTGCAGACCTGCAGGCAGAGCTTCAGACCTGCCTTGGACCCATGAGGCGCACCCTTGAGGCCAACCAAGAGGAGTTGCATGAGACCAGGCTTTTGGTGAGGAACTTGTCCTGGGACATCGCATGTCTCCACTACTGCGTCGCAGTTTGCTGCCTACTTCTTTTGATAGCCATGCGATATATTTGCTGAGCATGCCAGAAAAAGAGAGACGAGATTCTTTTCATATTGAAAAGGCACTTCTCCTTTCGGGTCTTGCCATCCCATGTCTGCCAGGTGATGTCTCCAGATTGCCATGGCCTCAGTGGCTGCTTTCATGTCCATAACCCTGGGCTCTGTGTGTGTGTGCCAATTTTTCATGGTTTGGAAGGTGCCCAAAATCCCAACAGCCCTGTCCATGCCATGGCATCCATGGCATGGGGCATCCATGGCATGGTCCACCCAAAATCCAAGGCTTGCCAGGGGAAAATGCCCGCACTCGTTCTTTTGAAGTTCTTTCCCCAAAGTGAAGGCATGTGTGTTGGCCTTGGAATGGCTCAGCACTGCCTGCACTTGGAGAAATGGCCCATCCAAAATTGTGAATGCAATGATGCTGGTCAGGCAAAAGTAACAACCCAAAAAGCAGTTCCAGGATGCCTTTAATGACAGCTGCCATGCTTTGAAGTAGACACCCACCATGGGCGCACCAGGTGAGGGGCCGGACTTGCGTGCCACTGTAATGTGTGACACACTGCTATTTTGAGGGGGTGACTGGTTAACATTGTGAAGCTCGATTCATTATATTTTTGCCACAAAGAGACAACCCCTGGATTCTTGAAGCTGTGGTGTCTGTGGGCTGTCTGCCAGTTGTGTCTAGCCTTTGGGTATCCTTGAAAAGTTGTGTCTTCTGCGCTCAGCCATGCCCAGGTGCTTTGGGGAAGCCAATCTGCTGGTCGGCTGTGAGGATGTCAGTTTGAGAGGAAACCAAATTGTTGTCTTGTTGAGCCTGCTACTGTACTGGGTAATTGTGTGCGCATACCGAAATGATAATGTTGAACGAATGGCCAGCCAGTGGAATGATGTGCCTGCCGTGGGTGGGCACCTTTGCATGCCCAATGTGAACTGCCATGAGTTTTTGGCTCACAGCACAGCACAGCATGCAGGCCAGCAGGCTTGCAGTCCAGACAGCTTGCAGGCAATGCCCCAACAGAGAGGGCTTTCGTATGAGAAGCGGCAAGGTGTCAGAACACTCAAGAAGGCTGTCAAGGTGGCCACAGAGGAGGCTGCAACCTCCAACAAGAAAATTGGCATCTTGAAGAATGATGTGAAGGAGCTGAACTCTGCACTCAAGCACGTTGCGAATGATCTGATGGAGGAAACGTGCCTCCGTGCCAAGGCTGAGCAAGAGACTGAGAAGATCAAGAAGGGCAGGGACGTTGTTCTGGAGAAGCACCAGGGGATGTGGAAGCGGGTCTATGACAAGTGCAACCAGGCAGGGTTGACCAAGCATGACCATGGGCCTGGCAGTTGCTACCCCTGACTTGACCGCAGGAAAAGGACGCCCTCTGCATTGAGAATGCAGACTTGCACTTTCAGATCATGGACTTGCAGGAGAAGCAGGAGCAGAGCTCTTCTTCCAAGAGCCAGCCATCAAATGCCAAGAAGCCTGAGATGTCTAAGAAGTGAAGCCAGCATTGCAGGCCTACAGGCCTGCAGGCTAGCTTGAACTTGGCTACCTGGCGCCGTTCTGGAAAAAAGCTTGTGAAGCGGTGGGTGTTTGTGTGTGTGTGTGTGTGTGTTACCCATGTGTGGTTGCATGTGCCGTGCGTGGCCTTTGCTGAGCAGCTCAGTTGCGCCTGTTTAGGCTCAAGGTCACTGTGTACATGTCTGTTTGCGCTGTGTTATCAATGGGCTTCTCCTTGCGTTGCAATTGAAGAGCCCACCTGCGGGCAGCACTCATCAGGGTCAACCGATGCAGCACATGCACTTGGGGCTGTGGGGCTGACGCGCATGGCTTGCAGCTGGGGGGCAGGGAGGGGGACTGGAGCATTTATTGGTCTGGTGCTGAACGAATTTCCTGCCCAATGGAGCTGTTTGGAAATTAGATGTTTTGCGCCACTTGGTTGATTGAAGGTTTGCCCTCCCCCTTGCATGATGTCTTCAAGGTTTCTGGCATTAATGTTTAGTGTGTAATTGGTGTTCAAATTTGACAATCCCATCAAGGAGCATCAAAGCTGAACAGTTGTCCTGGCGAAAGTGCAACATTGGCTGGCAGAACCCCAGCCTCCAATCGGTCAACACCTTCAAAAGTCAGTGGGGCCCTAGTGTCTGACAAGGGCTGGGGTGAACTGCGAAAACTTGCCTTGAACATCCTTTAAGCCTCTGGCCTTTGTCTTACTTGTTCCCAACCCCTACAGTGATAGGAAAATCCAAGGCATGGAGTCCATGCCTTGGCAGGCTTACAACCCCACAATGTGACTGCGCCCTAGTCAGTGGCAACATTGCCTCTTTGCCTGCCAGGCCTGTGTCACCCTGAAGTGAGGGCCTTAGATGCCTGGGCCTTAGTGTCTGCACCTTAGCTTGCAGCAGGCTCCGCTCTGCTGGGGCCGTAGTGAACCTCAGTGCAGGGCTTGAGCCTTAGTGCCCAGCTGCCCCAAACAGTCAAATGGCAACTTCTTTGGCTGCAAGCGTCTGTGTGCAAACACATTGTGGCTGCAGTGTGGTTTGGTGCACGGGTGTGCAACAGGGCATGAAACTTAGGGTCATGGTCAGCACACGTAGCCCCACATGCATTTTCTCAATGGCTGTGCCCTCTATGCATAGTGCTTTGCAGTTGTTACAGTTCTGAAGCAAAGCAGGGATATATATTGACCACTAGGCCATTGAATATTGCAGTCTTGGTGCAGGCTAAAGTGCCCCATGACCATCCTCCCTCTCTGGCCAGGCCTGCTTGGTCATCTTTACCATGTGCCCAGAAAAAAATGGTGCGCTTTTCAGCGCTACCCGCTTTTCAGCGGTGCCTATGTTTAAACCCTCCCTCCCTCCCTCCCTCCCTGTGAACTGCTGCTCCAGGTAGCCCGCCAAGTAGTCAAGACAGGGGGGATGCAAGAGGGACCCTTAGGGAATGAGAGGTGGGATGCCTGGCAAACAAAACTAAATCTTGGTATCTTAGAATGTTGGTGCCTGTATCTTAGTTCCATTTCTTCTGGTTTCAGGGCCATCTATTTTACCAAGAGGACACCGACAACATTTGGGGGGACAAGGATGGTTTCACATTTTTCTTTTGTGGGATTTAAAAGAACATCAGGACGACCACCTGTCGCCTGCCTAAGCCCGGTACACTCGGTTCCCTAGGTCTTCCAGATATTTCCTGATGTCATCGGCTGGGAGTTGTTGGACGCTTGGCCTGCTGTTTTGGGTGTTTTGAAGACATGTGTGTGTGTGTTGTGTGTGTTGTGTGTGTTGTGTGTGTTGTGTGTGTGTTGTGTGTGTGTTGTGTGTGTGTTGTGTGTGTTGTGTGTGTGTGTTGTGTGTGTTGTGTGTGTGTGTTGTGTGTGTTGTGTGTGTTGTGTGTGTTGTGTGTGTTGTGTGTGTTGTGTGTGTTGTGTGTGTTGTGTGTGTTGTGTGTTGTGTGTTGTGTGTTGTGTGTTGGGTGGTTGTGGGTTGTGGGTTGTGGGTTGTGGGTTGTGGGTTGTGGTTGTGGGTTGTGGGTTGTGGGTTGTGGGGTGTGTGTGTGTGTGGGTGTGCGTGCGTGCGGGTGCGGGTGCGGGTGCGGGTGCGGGTGCGGGTGCGGGTGCGGGTGCGGGTGCGGGTGCGGGTGCGGGTGCGGGTGCGGGTGCGGGTGCGGGTGCGGGTGCGGGTGCGGGTGCGGGTGCGGGTGCGGGTGCGGGTGCGGGTGCGGGTTTGCGGGTGCGGGCTAAGGGTTGCTGGAGGTTGCGGGTATACTTTGGGGGTGCGGGTGCGGGTGCGGGTGCGGGTGCGGGTGCGGGTGCGGGTGCGGGTGCGGGTGCGGGTGCGGGTGCGGGTGCGGGTGTGGGTGTGGGTGTGGGTGTGGGTGTGGGTGTGGGTGTGGGTGTGGGTGTGGGTGTGGGTGTGTGGGTGTGTGGGTGTGTGGGTGTGTGTCTGTGTCTCTGTTTCTCTGTGTCTCTGTGTCTCTGTGTCTCTGTGTCTCTGTGTCTGTGTCTGTGTCTGTGTCTGTGTCTGTGTCTGTGTCTGTGTCTGTGTCTGTGTCTGTGTCTGTGTCTGTGCGTGTGTGTGTGTGTGTAGTCGTCTGGTGATACCCTTTGTTGGACTGGTGTTGAAGTCTGCAATGATGTCAACCTTAATTTGCCTTCACTCTTTTTCCCAGGGTGACCTGATGTTTGCAAAACCTGATGTTTGCAAATTGGCGGCGTTTCCAAACATCACTTGTTGAACCACCCCACCGATAAGGGTTTTTCTCTTGAGACTATGAGATGTTGGCCCCACGATTCTATTGAGAATGACGCACGCACTGCGTTCCCTTGTTTTTGTTTTGTTCTAAGTGCCCACAACCGAAAAAGAAAAGAACAAACAAAAAGCATTACGAAGCCAAAAGGGCGTGTTCATTGTTTGCAGTCCCTCTATTTAACACTGGGAGTCCGTGTCGCGTTGCATCCTTTGTCGTTTGATTATGTGCCCGGCACGATTCTCCATGATGTACATCCTTGGCAAGTGCAGGCATACTTGAAGATGCAAGTTTCTCCTTGATACCCTCTAACAGACCTTCGCAAATTCACGATATGACATGAAACATAAATTCCTAACGAGGGTGGACATAACCCCCGCATGTTTTTTTGGCTGGGGGGCAAAGCAACACAATGATGTCCAAACTGTTCCCCCTCAAACAGACCTCAACCGGAAGACTTGCGCAGGTGCACGACCCAGAGATCGAGCTGCCCACAAAGCAGGCGATGCAAACTGGGGAACCGCCCAAAATGGACTTGGTTCCTTTTTTGTTTCTTCTGAACATCAGGTGGAACAAAAGCCTTTACTTGGGGTCTCCTTATGAATGATTTTGGCAACGTTTGAAACAGAATTTGAGGTTGGTGGCCCCCTAGCCTGTTAGCTTGTTATTGCTTTTTAGTGTTTAGTGGGGGTTTCTATTTAACACTAAAAGTTAGTCACTTTTAGCGGGGGAGCTGAAAACGGACACCCCGGTGAAGCTGGTTGTTCCCTGGGTGATTGTGGATCGCTCGCGCCGGTCCGAGATCGGGGGCGTCTTCAAAATCTGGACCAAAAAATGAGCGTGTCTTTGTTTCGGTTGGTTGAAAAGGGGAACCAAAAGGAACGAATCGTTTTTTGGGTGACCCGGTCCGGGACCCCGCAAAAAGCCCCACACCATGGGTGGGATCCCGGTCTCTGTTTTTTTACCACTGGAAATCAACTCGCGTCTATGATCCAAATGAATCCTATCCAGGTTTTCGCTCTGGGGTTAACGAGGGTTCTTTGATTTCTAGAAGGCCCTGAGTTTGATTCCAACCAGTTGGGTATGCTGGGTCGCCCAGTAGTGCCCTTTTAACCCTGTTTTTGGGGGAAATAGACTACAGAAGAAAAGGGTACCCTTATTCTAACCTTTTTACTGGAGGACCTAGTACGGGTCTGCCTTAGGGGACCCCAATTTAAATTGCTAGGGGGTGTTCCCAACCCTTCTTTTCAAGCATCGTTCTTTTCGAAACAAGCTGGCTGTTCCCAACCGATCGGTTTTTTTGATGGTTTCCTAAAAACAAATCCTTGAAAGAATGGACATGGGCGCTTCCCCTAGATATGTTTCTGAATGGATCGGTGCCCTTTTCGGGAGTTTAAATTGAAACCACCAGGAACGCTTCCAATGCGCCCTTTTGAGTTCGTCACGGGTAGACCATGCTTATACTACTTGTATGGAACCATGGTTGAAACCACAACATTTGTTGGTATCGTTGGGGAATCGAATCAGAGACCGTTGGGTTTCTGAGTTCGGTGGTGCGTTGGATGGATTTCGAGGACCCACAGTCACAGTATGTTGTAGTCTTCAAGAAAGCTCATCTTCTTGGATGAAATCCCAGAATGGGATACACCATCAATCCCTATTTGACATCTTGCAGCTTCATGGTTGTTGGAGCACATGTTTCCCCCATTTTTGCTTCTTGCGGTTGAGTGGCTGAAATCCAAATCCGCTGAACTGCTAGGAATTTGGGAAGTTTTGCTCCCCTTCCCCAACGTCAACTTGCAGCTTCTCCGGTGTTACATCTCAACACTTCCGCTTCATCCAGGCGATGCAGTTGTTTCACGCGCTGCCCAAGAGTCATCCGCGCCTCGGCCGGAGAAGCGGGGCCCGATTCAATCGGACCTTGGCTAATGGCTCTGCGATCAACAAAAACCATGGTATGTCTACCTAGAGTATCCTTTTGACCCCTAGAAAAAGGGGTGACCCCTGAATTTTGGGTAATGACCATGTTCAAAGGGTCAGAAGGAGACTCCAGGGACAACTATAACTACCCTCAGTTCTTCAAAGCGAATCGACCGGATCTGACCTTTTGGTTTCCCCGTTTTGGGTTCCGAAATTTAGTCATGGCCACAAAAGGTTAACCTTTTAGTTGCAGGTCCTTTGGGCAACTGAGTACCTCCTAGCTGACTACCCCCCCCCCCCCCTCCTGGAATTTGGGATAACCCCCTTGTTAAGCAATTATTGGCTAGGAGGTAGTTAACCATACCATGCAAAAAAGCTCACCCAGGGTGAGGTCCCTCAACTACTGGGGGATTGTTCCGTGAAATGAAGATGTGGTACTTTCCGCTGTAACGGTTTTAAAGGGAATATCGATTTCACTAGTTGCTGGACATATGTTTTTTCCAGGAGACGAAAAGGCTGGAGGTTGGGAATTATTTGGGGAATCCAGCTTGTAGTTTGCCAGGATGTGTTAAGGTTGAATTTGCCCAAAGGGAAGCTAAAATCAGCATTCTGCCCGAAACCCAAAGGACTGCCTTTGAAAGCAGTTGTTGGAGGGCGCCGGGAGCGGATGGGTAGTTGCTTTTTCTAGACACCCTGTTGAACATGGTGGAAAGGGCCTCGCGTTTGGTTCGCCATGTTTTTGTTTGGCTACACCAGAGGGTACTTTAGGTCGACAGATTCGAAATTGCCTAGGCTCGATACGTACTTTTCGGGAAGATTGTTTTTCTTTCCCAGAACTAGCTCTCCTTTTTGATGTTGTTTTTGGGGGGTCCCCTTTGTTTTCCACCAACCACGCAAACAAATTATATATATATATATCGTTCTTAGTAGATGCGCAAACGTGCAAGATTAGTTTTATTGCCGGGTTCAATCAGAGGAAGCGCTCCCATGACTGCACTCAGGACTCGCAAGGCGTTGCTGGAGTTGGCCTCGCCTGCTTAAGCCGCTCCATTTGGCTCGATTCCCCAAGCTAGGGTTTGTCCAGCCACGTATGATCGCCAAGTGGCTGTTTTTTTTCAGTCACCGTTGCTGGTTTTTGGGGTAAAGTGGATGGAAAATCACGGCAACTGGCGATCCAGGTACTTATGAGGGAGTTGAAGCAGTTGACAAGTGACTTTCCCAGTCCCAGTTGTTCAGTGAAACCCTGGAATCCCTTTTTGTTTGGCGACGCTTCCCCACTACAAATCATCAAACCAAAAACGGGTCCCCTTTTTCTACCAGGGTCACTGAACAGCCTCTCCCTAAGTGCCTGGACTTGAAAGTGTTTGTGTGTGAACTGCTAGCCTTTTCTGACCAATCCACTCAAGTTTCCCGCGAAATAATACATCGAAAGGCGAGGGCCACCCTGGCAAAGCGATCTGGGCCTGCTTGCGTCTCAAAATGAGGGGGGTTTTCCAAAAACCCGCCTTGGGCAAGCCCTGTGTGGGCATGGCATGCCAAGCAACTGCCACTTGGAGGGTGTCGTTTTTCTGGGTGGAAATTATTCGAAATTGGGCACTCGTTGTTGGAAAGGGCTCCATGTGTTGTGTTGTTTGACCACAAGCAGTACTGCAGGACTTTGGCGACTTCCAGAAAACACGTTGCACCCCTCCTTTTCCAGACAGCCGTGAAAAGGGTATCATGAACACCCTACCATACCTCCCCCAGAATCTAAGCAGCCACATAGCACACAGAAGTCGGCGCGCATTTTTTTTTGTCGTGACTCGGAGGCCTTTGCTCAACTCCATCAGCTTTTGGGGGTGTGCGGTGTGGGTATTCAAAGATTTCTGGGGTGGACTTAGGATATAAGTTTACATTTTATCAGTGACTCAAAGAGAAGCAAGCAATAAATCTAATGTTGACAGCGTATTAGTAATCCGCCCCCTATTAGTCCGGTCCGGGTGAACCCCCCCAATGCTAAAACAATTCATAACTCAGAAATTACACCCTAAATAAAAAAGGGTTCCAAAACAACCCCCCCCAATTAGACCGGTCCCTCCCCCAGATGGCTGCTGCTATCTCAATGGAAACCTCATCAAATTTCATGGAATCCCATTGGGGGGGTCATGCAAGCTCAATTCCAGATCTCAAAAGGAAGCCCCAGCAATACTAAATTGATTGGAAGCTCAATTCCAGATCTCAAAAGGAAGCCCCAGCAATACTAAATCAAATGGAAACTCAATTCCAGATTATTTAGGGGGTCAAGGCAAAAAACCTTCCAAAATCTTGCCCCCCCAAAACCTTCCAACCTTCGAGGGGGGGGTTGCTGACTAATACGGGGTCAACATTACATTCCACAACTGGGCCTAACTCTAATCATGGTTTGGAGAATGTCCTTTCACCCATCCAAAACCCACGACAAACATGGGGGAATCCTGGAATCTGCCATGTGTGTCATGGCTGGGTTTGATAAGTTATTTAGTGTTACAGGTGGTTGCTGCATGTTTCCAAACAGTTTGCTCAGATCATTATTTGTGTTGGTATCAGGTTGCGCCTTTTGGTTGCGCCAATTCTTTGTGCTCATTGACCGAGCAAAACATTTTCCGCAGTGATAGGTGTTCCCCCAAAGGTCCACATCTCAAATGGGTAACAACCTGCTTATCAGCCAGGGCCTGATTTGCTGTTGTCGGCTAGTGTTTGACTATCGCCAACAATCCGTATAAACATGTTGATAGAAGAGATTGGACAATATGAAGGCTACGTAATATGAAGATTGATTACAACCCTTTTGCTTTTACGGACAATCGGGTGAGTCCTCCAAAAGTTGAGACCAAGTCCTTCCCAGAGGGCCTTTGATGTGACCGAGGCCCTGGGGGTTTTGGGTTCGCGAGCTTTTGCTCTCCCGACCGTTTGCTCCTTGGGAAGGGGGACATGCGATATTTCTACTTCTCGTGGACAAGCTGTTCTATCTGCAAGTCTTGGAAGGGATTTCGTCATGAGCCTTCAGCTATACGGAAGGATCTTGCTTGAGGGCAAAAGTCTCTTGTGTACTGCGAAAAGCAAGTGGGGACCCGACGACCCGCCAGGGCTGCGCACTGTCACATGAAGTTCCAGGAGCGCGTCGTTAAAATCGGCACGAGTACGAGAACCGGCCCAATGGTAGCCTGCGCGTCTCTCTTAGCTTCATGGATATGTTGTTTGACAAGATCATGACATCTTGGTCGCCTTGTTGTCGCGTGATCAAACGAACATGTTTGAGAAAATTATGATTCTCCTGCTGAGGTGACAAGTTGACACACATCAGAGTCAGGTGTTGTCCTTTTTCTTTCCTTTGCGGTTGCCTACATGACTTGGTAGCTCTTTGACCAAAATGACCTTCACATCCCCCAGCCTGACTTAAAGACGCGTCAGTGTCTGAGGCTTGGCTTTGTTTGCCAAGGGTGAGCGACATTTGGGTGTGTCAGCTGAAATGAGTTGGACACCCTGCTTGGTTTCAAGGAGGCTTCCAGGCGTGAAGTCCCATCTGTTGCTTCGTCCAGGCTGTCTCATCGCAATTGGCCTCAGCAAGCCTTTTCAGTCCATACTGTTGGTTTTTTGATCTCTGGGAAAAGAGGGGTTCCAATTAATCATTGCTTGGCCAACATCTGGGGTTCAGTCTACCCTCAAATAGTCTTCGAAGTCACGCAAGCAAACACTCCCGATGAAAATAATTTGCTTAATCCAAACCAATGCTACCATTTTGGGGCAGGTGCACCAGCCATTTTAGTCTATTTTAGTGGGGATTGGGATGTTCACTGGCTTTTTTTTTGAAGGGGTGTTCCGCCACATTGCAAAAGCCCCCACACACTTAATGTGAGCGAGTGCGGCGCAACCTTTTGGGGGTCAAATTTAAAGGCACCCCCCCGCAGGCCAGCTCCTGCCATGCCTTGTTTGTGGAGTAGTTTCCAATGGTTTTCGTTGGATGCGGGTCGCATTTCTGTCCGATTACTTGCCCCAATTCCCCAACCACCAAGGCCCTGGAACAGCATTGTGCGGCTGGTGTTTGCGCTGGTTTGTGGCGGTGGGCCAGGAGTGGCCTGAGATTTGCAGTTTGTGGACAAGTCCCACATACCTAAGAGCTGCGCGTGCTTTGGGCCTTATTATTCATGGAGCTCGAGTTGACCGATGTTGGACGGAGTCATCAAGAGATGGAGAGTGGCTACGAACATGAGCATTGTGGCAGAAAACCAGGATCTAAAGGCCTTGGCCCGCAAGCGAGGCGGAAACTGAAGCGCCATTGGCGGTCGGCCTAGGTCCCCCAGTCCAGAAGAAGGAACCCTCCCCTTGGTGAATTGGGGGGGTCCTCGAAATAGGAGCCGGACGCTCTTGGCTAGGTGTCAAGGGAAGCCAAAACCAGGTCCCGCAGCTAGGTGCCCTTTCTCTCCACTGTTTTGGTTGGGAGGGTTCCGAACCCTACTAAAATAGACTACAGAAAAAAGAAACGGAACCCTTATTCTAACCTCTGAAATCTGGAGGACCTAGCTGGCAGTTTGCGGTGTTATCCGCTTAAAGCACGATATCTGCCGCATTTGTGAACCCCGAAAGTTGGTCAAGTCCAAGGCGCTGCGTGTGTTAAGGAAATCCCTGGGGTTACCTAATTGTCATCATCTAAATTGGGTCAACCTTTGTTTTAACGGGGGTTGAACCCCAGGGAAATGTTTTCAATTGGTCAAACACCGACAACCCCCCCGGTGCTAGGCCTATGAACTGGGTCGTTGCGGTTCGTCAGACCAACTGTGTGCTTCAAAAGGTCAGACGTGTTCTTTGGTTTCCACATTGAAGGTTCGACTCATAGCCATGAGGGTTCGTAGGACGAGGGATTGACAACGTAGCGTTCACGCGTGAGACGCGTGAGGCGCGTGCCACCGCTATGTCCTGCGGTGCGGTTCGAAGACCTGCTGCCTTGGCAATCGGAGTTTGTTGCAACGCTGAGCCTACAGGTGATGTTTTCATTTTAACTTCTGATATCCCAGTTTCGATCAGTTCCAGGTCTCATACTTTGCTTGTTGGGTTCAAACATCAACTTCCGCTCCAATTCTGATTGGTTCTTCCTTTGGGGTGATATAAATCTTATGGATTGGGTTTATTTGATTCTTCCTGTGGGGTGATCTTTTTAATGGGCTTTTAACAGGCGGGGGGGGGGGGTCTTGGAAGGCCATGTTCAACCCGGACCCGCCGGTGGGGCTCGCATGGCAATGCGCAGGCATTTTTTTGACCCCAAGGAAGACTTAATTCAAATCAGGGGTTGTCCTTTTGGGCGAAATGAACCCCCGGGTTCAAGTCTACCTGGAGTCTCCATGACCCTGCAAAAATGGGGTTACCCAAAATGAAGGGGTCATGACCCCTTTTTCTAGAAATCGTGGAGACTCCAGGTACCTTGGGGCAGTCAAAACGTGAACTGGCAACGTGGACAAAGCCGTGGCTCGCAGGAGGATGTCAAGCCCGGCCAGGAGGACTGCCGGAAAGGTTTGCCGCTGGAACTTTGTTCGTCGTGTGTTTTTTCGGTTTAGAGGCAGAGAAAACCAAAAGGAGAGGAAAAACCAGTGTTGAGGTCAAGCCTATTTTGAGACAAACCCAAAGACCCGTGTTTTTGGGTCTAGTTTGCAGAACCTAGTCTTCCGCAGTATATATTCCCTTTCTTTAGTCGGCACATTACACTACCCCTTTGTGAATCATCCTTTGGCAAGTGTTTCCTCAAGGTTTCCCTGGGTGCGAAATAGCTACCGTAAGTTTGTCATTTCCCAGAAGAAAGCCCAATGAGCCGCAAAAAGTCTACCACCGGAAACCATGGTTTGTTGGTATTTTAGAGGCGAAATGGGGATTTCGCAACCATCCACATGTCAAAACAATCATTCTTGTGGAATGTCTACCTCTTTGGGTTCCCATCATCCTTCGGTTTGCGTGGCTTTGGGGTTCTCAAAGCAGCCAGCGGTGTTGAACGAATCGAGAGATGCTTCGAAGAAATTGGGTACTCCAAGCCAACCCGAAATCTGCCCACCCCAAAGCCTCGCTGAACCCACCCTAAACCTACTCTAACCCCCGGCCCCCGACCCCAACACCTAGCCCACTTGGGTGTTCGGCCAAGTTAGGAAATTGTTAATTAGGAGCCGAAGTTACAACCCGCTTCTGGGTCCCCCTACTAGGTCCCCAGTAGTGCCCTCTCCCCCTTTTTTTGGGGGAGGGTTCCCACTAAAATAGACTACAGAAAAAAAGGGTCCCCCTATTCTAACCTCCCTACTGCAGGACCTAGCCTATGTGGAGCTAACCTTGTTATTGCAGGCGGCAAACCACTTGCTAACTTGGCCAGACATCCAAGTACCCTGCCCACCTGAACCCACCCTAAACGCCCGAAACCACAGACTTTCACCAAGCCCTGGCTTGCGGACGAGCCTCTGAGGCAGAGGCACAGACGCCGACTCGTCTCGCCAAGTTCGGGATTCGTTTCGTAGGTCCCAGAGACGGCAAGGGCGGCCAGTTTTGCTACGGACTTTTGAGCAGGCTTGTGGTGGATCACTCAACCCCTGATCCAACCACTTCTGTGATTACAAGGGAATCTCCCCCAGCTTGTGATTTCGTCTTTGGCGCTTGCCCTTTCTGTTGTATCACAGAAGTGGATTCCATTTCCCACGGCCCTGCTTTCGAGGCCCGGCAATGGCGAACTTTGAACACAAGAGAACGGACTTCCGGTTCGGATGTGCCGCTTTGTGCGAAGACCCCTGCTGCTCTTGTTTCGCTCGTGTGCTGTCATGCCGGCGGATAGACAGGATTTGACGCAGTGATGTGAGTGCACGCGGTCTGCCTATAGTTGATCCCAGTTACCGCCACAAAAGGAAACCAACATGCGTCTTCTTGGTGTTCACATCAGGTGGTTCCCTTCGTTCCCAAATCTACAGGTAAATGGATCCACTGCTAGGTCCCCCAGTAGTGCCCTGTTACCCTTTTTTGGGGGGAGGGGTCCCCTACTAAAATGGACAACACCAAGAACAGTTGGTACCCTAACCTCTAACCTCTCAAATCTGGAGGAATTTGAAAAGGAAACCACCTACCTGGAGGGGTCCCTGTTGGTTTTAAAGGGAATCTATCACTACTGGAAGCAGGTCTATTCTTTACCAGGGGACTTCAGCAAAAGGAGGGGGCTCTGTTACGACTCCACCTATTCCAGAAAAACGATTCCACCAGCCGAAGGCTCCCAGGCTCCCTGTAGCGGCCGCGGCCAGGACCCCTTCCTCTCCGCCAAGCAGCTGGCGCTTTGGGTGGAAAGGGTCACTGGCCGCCAGGCGAGGGGCGAAGTCTCCAGCGGGCAAGCCACAGGGCATGGCGGGAAAACGCTTCTCACGAGTCTAAGAGGAAAACGACGTGACATCCAGGTGCGTTTTTTTTTTTTTTTTTTTTTTATTATTATTATTATTATTATTAGTATTATTATTATTATTTGGACAAACCCTCTGCAAGGCGCTGCTTGACCCTGGGTTTTTTTGGTGACACATCACTCAGATTGTCCCACATGAATCTGTGGCTTTCTGATCGAATGTCCTTGGAAGGTCCACCGGCTTACGATCCTTCGTTTGGGGAGTGGTAGCTATCAATTTCATGCAGGAATCTGGTCGAGCAGGTTTCTTGGGGCGGTTGTGCCCGCACAATTTTACAAACCTCCGGAGAAAACAAACATTTTGCAGCCATTTGAAACATGGCTGGCTTTTTCAAGACCAAAATAAAGTTGGACACCACCATTTACAAGTTGCAATTCAGTTGTATAATGTAAGGATCCCTGTTGTGGGTCAGAAAATCTGGCAACCCTGAAATGAGTTTTCTTCAAGCAGGGTTTTCGATGGCTGTGCCCCAGACGTGCCTCGGAGTGCACTCGGGCTGTTGTTTCTTGGAGTACACCAACGGAATCACTAAACTGGCCACGAAGCTGGGGTCGAGGAGGTACACTCAATTCAAGTTGGATGTTCACATGTTTGGCAAGTGGTCAGGAACCTTCCTAAGGAGTTTCAAGGAGGTTCCCCATCTGGATCCCATTTACCACGACTAGGTAACCCTTCGCCATATTCCGTTTGATTTTTTTTAATATCGGGTGGCAAGCCCTTGGTTACCTACTATACGGGTAAATCCACCAACTGGAGGGAATCTGAATCAACTGGTGTAACTGAGGCTTGGCAAATTTGATTCAATGAGTTGGTTGCCACAGCAAGCCCGCCATGGAACAGCAAACCTCACAATGATTCATGCCTTCTTCTACTGATCATCGCTGGTCAGAGGCGTCCAACTGGCACGATCTCAGCATCGGCGCCAACTTCCACAAACAGCCGCTGCATGTGCTTTGGCCCCAGCTCCCGCGGGAACAACCCGCGAGCGGTCAGTCCAAAAGAAGGAACCCCTCCCCTGGTTGATTGGGGGGTCCTCAAACTAGGAATCAGACGCTTTTTGGCTGGTTTTAAAGGGAAACGAAAACTAGGTCCCTCCAGTAGTGCCCTTTTTACCCTTTCCCCCCTGTGAATGAGTTGGCCACGCAAATTCCGCTCGAACCGATTGCGCCTCGCTCAAAGATCCAACTGTTCAAAAGCAAACTATGCTGAGCAAACCGCACTTGGATTAGACGTGTCCCAGGGGTGTGTGGGGGGGGGGTCCTCTATCCTCTCCAAGGTGCTCGAGGGGGGTGTGGGGGGGGGGGGGGGTCCTTTATCCTCTCCAAGGTGCTCCGCACGCCGAACAATGTTGGCGGACGTTCCTATTGATGGCGTGCTCGTGTGAAACGTCAAAGTTTGCCCATAAAGGCACACCTATATTGATCAACCAAGTGCGTTCAGGCATCTTTTTTACGCGCAGGGCTTGCCAAGCGCTGCGGCCACGGCAGCCCACCTCAACCGCCAGAGTCCTCAGGGGCGGCCGTGCGGCTAGCCCTGGCCGTTGTGCGTCCGTCTCCTCTTCTTCCTCCGCCAATCGCAGGCCAATCGCAGAAGGCATTGGCAACAGATCTAAGGCAACGGATCCGCCAACGCATGCCCTCCCTTAGAATTGCACACATGCCCAAAGCTACGCGCCTCCATGAGGTTCTGCACTTGGAAGCCCATGCGCGCGCCGGCCTCGCGTGGCCAGTCACCAGAACTCATATGACTGAAGCTCCTAACTCTCTTTCTCTCTCTCGCTTCTTATTTCTCTCTTTTGTTCTCTCTTTCTTTCTCTTCTTCTCTTTTCCTCTCTTTTTCTGTCCTTTTCTTTTATATGTCTTTCTTTCTTTATTTATTTTTTTCTTTCTTTCTTTCTTTCTTTTTTTTGTCTCTCTCTCTCTCTCTTCTCTCTCTCTCTCTCTCTCCTTCTCTCTCCTTCTCTCTCCTTCTCTTTCCTTCTCTCTCATTCTCTCTCCTTCTCTCTCCTTCTCTCTCTTCTCTCTCTCTTCTGTCTCTCTTCTGTCTCTCCTCTCTCCTCTCGCTCCCTCCCTCCCTCCCTCCCTCCCTCCCTCTCTCTCTCTCTCTGTGTGGGCCGGCATAGAAGAGAGTTGTGGTCCTCATCGCCCACATCAGTGGGCGAAACTGTCATCGGCACCCTCACATCGTTGCACTCCTGGCAATGGGCTCAAACAAAAGGCACGATCTGAGCTTCGGACAGCACTCGAACTCGTCAGTGACCAAATACAGGGTCAGAGCCATGCTTTGGTCCGGAGTGGAACTTGCGCATTTCGAGCCGGAGCTGCCGAGTCCGAGATTAGCTAGTTCTCAGGCCGCAATGCTCACAGTTGTTTTTTGCACACGCCTTGCAAAGCATCGCCCTATCCCCAGCCAAGGGCGCAAGAGCATGAGTCAATAAGCGCCACGCCACACAGCGAAGCGCAGACATGCTCTTTGGGAAGATGTCAAGGCTGAGCCTAGCAAATGCTAAACTTGACGCACAAGCGCCCACGCCGCCCGGCCCCTGCTCTGCCGCCCACGCGCCCAGGCCCCCGCTGGCCCCCGCTCGCCCCGGCCCACCCCCTCTCCCCCCGCCCGCCAGCGCACGCAGACACACACACACACACACACACACACACACACACACACACACACACACACACACACACACACACACACACACACACACACACACACACACCCCACACACCACACACACACACACACACACACACACACACACACACACACACACACACACACACACACACACACACACACACACACACACACACACACAACCCACAACACACACACACACACACACACACACACACACACACACACACACACACACACACACACACACACACACACACACACACACACACACACACACACACACACACACACACACACACACACACACACACACACACACACACACACAACACCCACACACACACACACACACACACACACACACACACACACACACACACACACACACACACACACACACACACACACACACACACACACACACACACACACACACACACACACCCACCCACCCACCCACCCACCCACCCACACACCCACACACCCACACACCCACACACCCACACACCCACACACCCACACACCCACACACCCACACACACACACACACACACACACACACACACACACACACACACACACACACACACACACACACACACACACACACACACACACACACAACACAAACACACACACACACACACACACACACACACACACACACACACACACACACACACACACACACACACACACACCACACAACACACAACACACAACACACAACACACAACACACAACACACAACACACAACACACAACACACAACACACAACACACAACACACAACACAAAACACACAACACACAACACACAACACAAAACACACAACACACAACACACAACACACAACACACAACACACAACACACAACACACAACACACAACACACAACACACAACACACAACACACAACACACAACACACAACACACAACACACAACACAAATCACACAACACACAACACACAACACACAACACACAACACACAACACACAACACACAACACACAACACACAACACACAACACACAACACACAACACACAACACACAACACACAACACACAACACACAACACACAACACACAACACACAAAACACAACACACAAAACACAACACACAACACACAACACACAACACACAACACACAACACACAACACACAACACACAACACACAACACACAACACACAACACACAACACACAACACACAACACACAACACACAACACACAACACACAACACAAAACACACACCACACAACACACAACACACAACACACAACACACAACACACAACACACAACACACAACACACAACAC